GACAGCCAGCTTTGCAATGGCAGGAATACCACAGCCCAGTTACATCAAGGTACATCTGTGCTGTGGAAATATGTCGACCCTCCATATCCACAGATTCAATCATCCATGGCTTGAAAATGTTCAAAAATATATAAATTCTAAAAAGCAAGCCTTGATTTTTTCCATTTTATATAAGGGACACTATTTTACTACACCACTGTATATAATGGAACTTGAGCATTGAGATTTTGGTATCCACAGGGTGTCCTGGAACCAAATCCCAATCTTTACCAAGGGCCTACTGTAATGCAGTTTGAACCACTTTTAGGTGGTATAGAACCATCCTCTCGAACCCCAGGATGTGTAGTTTTACAAGGTCTTCAGTCTTCTCTGCCAAAGAATGATAGTGCCTCACAAAACTACAGATCCCAGGATTCTGTAGGATGGAACCATGGCTGTTAAAGTGGTGTCAAACTACATTATTTGTTACCGTGCAGATGTACCCTAATAGTACTACGCACTCTTTAGTAATGAATAGGAGCAAAATGTATAATGTTTTCTCAGGGCTGGCCCTACAACTGGGCACTGAGACAGTACTCTTGGGCTGCAGCTGTTGGAAGGTAGCAGCAGGTTATCGGAAGAGGGATCTGCACACTATTGCTTTCTGATGCCCTGGAGGACCCTGTCATTAGTGCTTCAAAAAGAGCCAATTGCCAGCCCAGTCAGCTTTTATATATGGCATGGGAAGGCACACCACCTTATTTGTCACCTCAGGCATCAAACTGACTTGGACCAGCCCTGTGATTTGTAAAACAATGAATATACCCACATTTCCAGATCTTAGATGAGGGCAGATCTTAAATACATATTTCCTGTTAGCAATGATGAACACAGTGGTGGTTCACTCCAAGGTAAAATGCAGGTATGGACAAGGTACAACCTGTTCAATTGACAGTCTTCATCTAATGTTGGAATGGGAGAGAATGAATTAAATGCTCTATTTCAAGCTTGACATTACAATGCTCTTAAACCTGTTTTCCCACTCCTAATTTCTTGCCACTCCTTAAGAGAACCACACGCACACTAATGGCAAGTTGCAAATCAAGTTTCAAATCAGGTTTCAAATCAACCAATCTATCATGCAACATGTGGGGATTTAAATACACACCCAAGTCAGTCATGTCACTAAGCTGAGCTAAAGTTCAGTAGTTGAGATTGTTCTCACCACCCAATCTAACTGGTGACAACACGTCCAGTTAAATTAAGAAATATGGGAATTTCAAGAACAATGTGAAGGGTAAGAATCTTTTTCACATGGCCAAAACCTTCATCAGACTGAAAAAAAAAAGATGCATTCTCACTTTGCAAGTTGTCATGTTGAGGGATTCTGGGCACTCTGGTCAAAAAAAAAATTCGAATTTCTAAGTTCCAATGATTGCTGATGGCTTCCATGTCAGTGTGTGTGTGTGTGTGTGTGTGTTCATGTATGCACACACATTCCAGATTTTGGTGAACCCTAAAGGAACTGTCCAAGGTGCTTAACATACTTAGCACATCAAAGCCAACACAGTACAGTGGTTTGAGCATTGAGCATTTCCTCAGAGAAAGACAAGGGCAAGCCCCCTTTGAACAAATTCTGCCAAAAAAAAACCCGTGATAGGTTTGCCCTAGGGTTGCCACAGGTTAGAAATCAGTTGAAGAAAGACAACAAGGACAATTCCACATCACAGAGAGCTCCTTTAAACCATTGATTAGAAACTAAAGTGTACTAACTAGCCCACTGACATGGGAGCCACTAGAAAGCTGTGCCAAACAGTTTGGGTTCTTGATTGTGCAGATGATGGGCAATGATTAAGTGTGGGATGATTTTCCATACCTATTTACTACCCAAAAGGGTCACTACCCACACCTAATCACTACCTAATCCTTGATCTGGTGACCTGAAGGAGATGCTGTGGAAGTTTAGTTTGTGTGCTTCTTCTGTGTGCTCTGACAGAAGGAAGGAACAACATGGAGTGCAACCTGACCATTCAAAAAAGACTTGTAGGCCAGAGTGCACCAGGTTGTAGTCTTTGACTTCCCACAAGAAGTCAAGAATAAAATGGTGTTCTACTCTGTTCCATGTCCACCAAGAAAGAATTGCTCAGGAAGAATGGCTGGGAGACTGCTGCTGTATCTCTAGCATCTACCACCTGAGGCATTGCTTCACTCTGATTAATTTTAGGGCCAGCCCTGTGACAAAATAGAATAATCTTGGTTCTGTACACCAAATGGAATACAATAAAATGTTATCAAGATTTTGGTATTAATGGTTGCTGTTGCTGTTGTTAATTACCATCAAATTAGCTTCAACTTATGGTGGCTTTACAAATGAAAGACCTCCAAGATACCCTATTATCAGCCCTGGTCAGGTCTTGCAAACCTGGAGCTACAACTTCTTTGACTGAGACTATCCATCTATAACAGGGGTAGGCAACCTTTTTGAGCTAGGGGCTGGGTTGCTGTCCCTCAGACAATTGGGGGGCCAAAGCACCAAAAATAAATAAATAAATAAATAAATATTTAAAAAAATATGCATGCACCCGCTCTCAGCCCCAGAAAAACCATGGCAAAACCCCTGTGGATATTTTGCCAAGAAAACCCCAAGAACAAGTAATAACAACAATAAACAATATCATCATGGCGGGCAGCGGCGGTGGTGGGAGACAGTGGGGGGGGCAGCAGGACCGGCCTGGGGCCGGTCCGAAGGCCTCAGGGGGCCGCATCTGGCCTCCGGGCCTTAGGTTGCCTACCCCTGATCTATAACATGGTCTTCTTTTTCTACTGTCTTCAACCTTACTGAGCATGATCTTCTTTTGTTATGAGTTGTGTAGTCTAATGCTATATCCAAAATTTGATAGCCTCAAGTTTAGTCACTTTGACCTCCAGTGAGAGTTCAGGTTTGATTTGCTCTAATACCCACTTATTTATCTTTAGGCAGTCCATGTTATCTGCAGAACTCTTCTCCAGAACCACCTTTCAAATGAGTTCATTCTTTTCTTGTCAGCTTTCTTTGCTGTTCAGCTATTACAACCATACATAGAAACTGGAAATGCAAGGGCATGGACAATTTTGACTTTAGTAGTCAATGATATATCTGAATACTTGAGGATATTATCTGATTTCTTCATGGCTACCCTTCCAAATTCTAGGGCTAGTCTCCGTATAAGAGTATTATGTGAATTGCTGCAAATCTTTGCCTACTCGCATTGACGGTTAATTATCTTCATTTTCTTATGCAAATTCACATCTATCTGCATCTATTCACCTTCCCTCTGCCAAAAATGTGCAGCCATCCAAATGTGTGCAATAAAGAGCATTTCTGCAGATTTCCACAGTTACACTGGTAAAACCCGTAAAGCCGTTTTCTGCAAAGTTTAAGGAGTTTTTCAGCCCCACTCCCAGCAAAAAGTCCAAACCCCTATGAATTGTGTGTGGTCAGATCACATTCTATTTGTCTGGAATGAGGAGCATTTTAATGGTGTAGACAACCCTTTGTTCGGCTTCTGCCTTTTTGACTACAATTTCAATTTTTGATTTATGACTGAGACAAGATATAGGAAGTCTTTATTTTTATGTCATTCACTTGAAAATTATGCAAATAATCTGTGGTTACCTTGTTAGTGGTATCTGTGGTGTCATGTTAGTATCTGTGGCAACCAAGTTAATGGTTACAGGCAGCTATAAGTGCCTGTAAGATGCTCCTTAAATAAGAGATTGTTCTATGCTTTGTGCCTGTTACCCTTCCATGCTGTCCTTCCTCCCCCTTGAAATGTGATGCCTTGGCTTTGCATTATTATATCAAATCTCATGAAGGTCATTATTACCTGTGCAATAGAATCAAAGCTGTGCATGACCTGGGCAGAACCACAGAGCAGTGCTGTGCCATGGGCTCCATTGAAACTGCAATAGAGAGTGACAAAACACGGCACTTGGAAGTAACTAGTAGAGTAAGAGTAACATGTAACTTGTAGACCTTTTCTAGTAGCAAAGCCATAACAGTAGTGGCAGCATCTTCTGAGCCACTCCTGAGCCTTTTGACCATGCTTCTCTGTTTGTGGACAATTTCTGTGGCGTTCACTTTCACTACATGTGCATGGGATTGTAGTGAAAGTAACTTGTGATTTTTATTTGGGACTAAGCATATACAACCTCAGTTTTGACCATAACATTCAACAGATATACCATACAATAGCTACATCTAAGCACACTTCAGAGCATATAGCAAACTGTTATTAGACTGGATCACTGGAGACAAAGAATCACATCACAGATTCTTTGCTGTGTAAAAATCTGCTTTCACATAATCAATTGGATATTGACACTGATTAGGGGTCCAGCCCTTTATGGGACAAGAATCTGCTTCCTGTTTTTGTTTTTTTTTTGTTGTTGTATTTTTGCAGTGTGTGTATTGTATGACTCACTCAACTATTGTCTAAAGTGTGTACCATACAATACACACAATGTATTGACCAAGCACAGTGTTACCACATGACTGGATATTTAAGTCAGTATTTGTCTGGCTTTTTCTATTTGAATATTTTGACAAGATTGGGTATTTCCTTATCTTGCCTTGAATATACTTAATGAATCCTTTTGCATAGTGAGCTCATAGCACTACTATTCAGCAGGCCCTGTGCAATTAGACTTTTTATCATTAACATTTTTTTTTTGGTGGCAAGGAAAAAGACGGAAGAAGTGGTAGGGAAACATCCAAGAGTTATGAGTGGACTGTGGCAGTATCTGGATCCACTGTAAAATGCAATGAGCAAGGCCAAAGCAAAGCAAAATAAAACCTTAAATTATGAAGCATCTTGCATTTCCTAGTGTCAGAGGAACACCAGGTTTTATTTAGATTATGGACCAATTGGATTTAAGAATCTTGGGCTGCATCTGTACTGCATAAATAATGCAGTTTGATACCACTTTAACTGGCATGGCTCAATGCTATGGACATGTAGTTTGTTGTGGCACTAGAGAGAGCCAGGGTGGTGTAGTGGTTTGAGCATTGGACTGCAACTCTGAAGACCAGGTTTGAAATCCCAGCTCGGCCATGGAAATCCACTGGGTGACCTTGGGAAAGTCACACACTCTCAGCCTCAGGGGAAGGCCATGGCAAACTTCCTCTGAACAAATCTTGCCAAGAAAACCCCATGACAGGTTTGCCTTAGGATCTCCATAAGTCAGAAACAACTTGAAGGCACACAATAGCAACAACAGTGGCACTAGAGCTCTCTGACAGAGAAGGCTAAATATTTCTCAAAACTACAAATCCAAGAATGCCATAGCATTTTGTTATGTAGTGTCAAACTGAATTATTTTTACAGTGGAGGTACAGCCTTGGTTTCTGAAAACATGTGAACTCTGAGTTCTCCATGAAGTGAATATATGCTGAGCTGTTCAGAAGATCAAAAAGCATGTGCGTGCCCAGCATGAGATTGATGACATATATCACTGTGTGCTTTGGTTAAAATGCATGAAGTCACCGTATAGTTTTGAAGGCTAAATGCAGATATGGGTGTATTATTTTGGTCAAATGTGTTAATAATAACTTGTGTTCTAAGAAAGTACCAATCAAAATGACAGTGAATGTTGTCATGATAGCGTGCATAACTACTTTACCATACACTGTGAAGCACACTTGTTAATTAAGCTAAGCAACAAACAGTCTATAGCAATAAGAAACACCATAAAATATTTAAGCATAGGCTTGGAGTCATCCTTACTCATTTAATTTTTGAGTTCTAAATAAAGAAACAAATATCAGCAAATAATGACTAGCTGGTTTGTAATTCTGACTCTGAAACATTTGTGTCTTGGTCTCCTGTTGGTTTGTAATTTTGAAATGCTTGCTGATGAACCCATGTGCAGATACATTTCAAAATGACTAGATCTGTATAGTGGGTGCATTTGAATAGCATGATAAGCCATGGTTTGTGTCAAGCATTGCTTGTTCCTTAAGCCAAGAATTGCATAGTAGGTGGCAAAACAAACTTTAGCTTGTTTTTGGTGGGTTTTTGGCTTGTTTCACTCCTGCTCTGCTTTTCAGCTCCTTTTTCAGAGTGGGAAGCTGGGGAAATATGCCAGGGAATAGCCATAGTTGCAGGCTCATACATCATGTTTTAAACAAGGCACAATTTGTAAGCTGACAACAACAATAACAACAAAAACCACCATGGATTTAGACTGTGATTTTTAAGTGGTTAATCAACCATGTCTTGCTAGCAGAAGTGGCTGTACAAGCCAGATCTGAAGAGACCAAAATATAACTAGTGATGGTATGCAATTATGGGAATAGTATATCAAGCATGGGTTTTTTTTTTGGCCCTCCAGATGTTTTGATTTCAGCTCCTATAATAGCTTAGCATTAGTCATATTGGGTGATACATCTGGCTGTTAACATCCAAAATATCTAGATAGCCAAAGGTTCCCCCAAAATAAGACTTCAAAGATTCCTGATGCCTCACAATTATGCTCTAGGATGTTTGAAACATTCAATATTATGAAGCTGTGACCAGTGTTTGGGGTGTGGTGTGCATTCACAGCATCACTAGCAAATCTAATTAATTCTTCTCTTGCCCTTGGCATATGAACTGCTGAAACTTGTGCGAATGAAATGTATTGCTAAAAGTCTTCTAACAGTCACTGACTGCTCTCTTGGCATCTCAAGAATGTGTTTGCCAACCTGTGACCACTCTGAGAGTGTTTTTTTTTTCTTGTAGGTATTAAGGTGTGGCTGAGATCCTGCTGCTGCTACGTACCTGAAACCAAAGAACGGGCATATTTCTTTTGAGAGAGAGAGAGAGAGAGAGAGAGAGAGAGAGAGAGACTGAGAGGGAGAAAGAAAAAGGATTCCTAGAGCTAAGCACAAAGCACTTGGAACAAGGTACATATGCTTTAATTCACACTTGCCTTTGCAGTTCTATTAATAGTTTATAGCCTCTTTAAACTGTATATTCATTTTAAGAATAAGTTCAGAGAGTATGTATTAATCATGTTTCTATTCCACTACTCTGCCAAAGATCTCAAAGCTCCATACTTTAGCAGAAATTCAGAACACCCCTGAGTGGAATGCTAGCCAGGGGACATTACTACTGGATGGATGATGGTTTTAAGCCATTTCTCTCTCTTCCCTGCAGCGCCTTTTCAGGGATTTGCCAGAACAGCTCAAGAGTTGGCTCTGGAGGGAAGGGAAAACTGATGAGAATCACTTCCCAGTCCCAAATCACTATTTGGTCCTCCTTCAGCATCTGCTGGTTCTCTGTCCCTTCCACAAATGGAAAGATTGTCTATTCTTTTGTAGGAAGGCAAGTGTGGATTCAACCCGTTATTCCATTCCTTTCTCCTCACAATCACTCTCTGAAGTAGAGTTGGTTTTGTGAGTGTGACTTGGTCAAAGTCACCTAATTGGTTATATGACACAACAGTGATTTCCTGGTGTAACTTCACCACTTTGTCCAGTAAGAAGGGTGGAGAAATAATATAACATTGCGTTTTGCCCCAAGCAGCAAATGATTTGGACCAGTCCTACTCCCATTATTTATAGCAACCATGACCATGCCTGGGAATGATGGGAGTCATAATCCAACTCATGGCCATTCTTGTTAGCTCAAGTTAATGAAAGCAAGACATTTTGCAGACTGAGACAAAGGGAAATATGGCACTTTCCCCCAGTTTCATCTATAGAAACTGACAACATTCTCCACAAACCAGCATAACCAAGATAGGGCACATAATACACTCTGTTCACTCTCCAGCATTTGGCCACTGCTCTCTGACCTCAAAAAGTCTGAGGCATGAGGCAGTTGCCTCCCTTTGCCTTATGGTGGGGCTAGCTTGGTTGGGACTTGTAGTCCAAAACATCTGGAAGGCAGCAGTTGGTGAAAGGCCCATCTCAGTAACACAACTATTAAACCGTAATAATATCCTACCCAAGATTAGGGGGCACATCCATTCCCAGGCAGGTGGGAAAATATAAGGCATATTGTGCCATATGGACAGTATTGTCCAACTGGCCAGGTTGGAGTGTGGTTAAAGTGATATCATGAAGATGGTTTGAATGAGACAACTATAGATAAGAACAGTGCTCTGATGGGCTGTTGTTGTTAAACTGAAAACATTAATGCACTTATGGCAAATGTGTGATCCTTGCAATGTTGTTGGACCTCATCCCCACCAGCCCTAAGCCAGCATAGCTAATGTTGATAGATTGTGGGAGATGCAGTCCAACAAAGTCTGTAGACCACATTTTGGCCACCAAAAGAAGTGACAACTGAAAAGAGAGAAAATATTGTTGGAGAAGCTGCTTAATCCTTCCAACCCTTTATTCAAAATTGCCTCATTTCAGGTGTTTTTCCATTTAAGAAAAAAAAAGTATGCACTGTATCTCTGTACATTGTCTCTAAAACAATTCCAGAGACAGTTTGCATTTTTGCTATATGTATTGCTTCATGCCACAGCCTTCAGGGAAAAATAGACAAAATCAACTTGGCTACCAAAGGGTAGCTAGCCACTTTTTAGTTGTCAGATTACAGTTTCACTTGCACAGAAGAGCTGGATGACACACCAGCAGTTGTCAAAGAGAGGGCAGTGGGAAGGTGGGGAGTTAGAATACACCATCTTGTTAAAGGAAGCAAAGAAGTAGCAGAATCACTACAAACATTGGATGACATACGGATCTGAATGTTGCTTAGCAGGAGCCATGGCCTTTTGTAGTAACTACTTGCATGGCATTTTTTAGGATATGAGTTCCACTGCTCAGCAATTTCCAATTAATGAGCTTTTCTGAGAAAGTCAGAACTGTAGAATCTTGGGGGCTAATTTAGGAGGCAGCATGAAGGCCTTCTAATGCACTTATAGCTCTGTTTTCTGGGAGAGAGAAAGGCCAAAAGATTCAGAAGGAATAACTAAAGGGTTGGCATTTCTGTCCCTTATAAACTATTGCCCAAGGCAGTAGCTTCACTCTCCATATTGGTTTAGTTAAGAGATGCAAACTGCAATTTGATTGGCGTAAAAGCCAGTGTGAAAGATCTTGTCTAATAGTGTTTGCGACATTTCTGACAATTATTAGCCACACTTGTGTGGTGCCATGGGATGTTCAATGGTTCAGGGAACTAAGCAGATTGTAGTTTAACTTCAGTGAAGAACATTATCAGTTTGATTGGTATAAAAAAAATCACATTTGAAAGTTGAGGACTGTCAAGAGAAGGAAGGAAAAATGCACATTGATCATGCAGGCAAGAAGAATGGGAAAAGTGGCATAAGAAAAAAAAAGAATCCGAAGGAGGAGTAGATGAATAAAGGATTTTTTTAAAAAAGAAAAGGGGCCACATAAATGGAGAAATTGGGAACTGGTTGACTTCCATGAAGCAGTGTGAAGAAGAGGATGGGTGAGCAGAAAGAAAGAAAAAAGCTTGGGATGGTGGTCAAGGGACCATGTCCAGAGTCTGGTTGGTTATGGCACCATAGTTACATCACATTGTAGGCAGTGGCAGTGGAAGTTAAAAGAGAGTGAGCATGGTGGCATTGGAGAAATTGGCCTCTCAAAGCCAACAAATAGTTTCTTGTCGCCCCTCCAGTAGTGGCCAGTGACTTCCATGTCAGTAGGCAAGTGAATCTTCTCCAGCTTTTTGTCTGAACTTTAAAACAGTAGTTCAAGATGCTGAATTTATCTGGGATATAGAATTAGCTCCTTTACTACTGGGATTAAAATATGGAGCAGATTCTCCATCCCACTGACATGGAAACCACTGGCCACGGCAGCTTCCCTTACTATCATTTCTTCAGCCCAGAGAAAGTGGAGCTGCTACCATAATGCACCAACAGGATCACAGCCAAAGTGCATAATTTAAAACAATATTCTTTCCTGATACATTGTGGTTGTAACCCTCAAACTCCTTTATTTATTTAGAGTTTGAGAAAACTTAACCATTAAGGAAGACATCCCAGATTAATTTTTTCCTCTGGTTGCAGATCAGAATTAAATACCATGTACATTTCTCATTATTTCTCTGATGATGCATCACACTCTTTTTAAAAATACTTATGTGAGATA